AAAAAGTCCAAGCCACGACTCAGTACGATCGTACTGGCCGAGAAGCCGAGGTCGTTGTAGAGGGCCGCGTACTTGGCAACGTGACGCGCCGTGCCGTTCATCCAGCCGCAGACAATGACGTGCACGTTGCGCTTCTCGTCGTCGTCGGGGATGGCGTGCACCATGTTGCCGACGAATGCCAAAGTGGCAGCACTTTCTGACCAACAAGAATAGGGTTGTAAAGTATGTGGATGACTACAATAGTCATCAGCTACCTCAGTGCACCAGATGGACAAGTGGATCGAGAGACGCCGGCGGGGCTCGATCTCAGCTTTGTCGGGGAACCAACTTGAGAGTCCCGTTGCAGTGCGGTGTGCTGGCGGATCTTCTCTCGACCTGAACTCGCTATGGCGTGTACCGGAGTCGCACCAAGGCACTCTACTGCGCCTAATGCCTTGAACAACCGGCGACGCTTTTTCTCGTCGGCTACTCTTTAACACCCAAGGACAAACTGCCCACAAGCGTTGTGCTGCTCGGAGAACCATAGATGGAGCCATTCATGACCGTTCGCAGCGTGCGCCACAAGCCGAGTGACGACGACAAAGCCGACGATGGGGCTCCTGGCGTGACTGTCGGACCCATAGTGCATGGGGGAATCGGGACAAAGCCACTCACGCCAGCTTTAGCAACGGCAAGACACATGAGTCTCTTTCTCACAGTGCGACCTCTTACGCGCAAAGCTGTCATCTTTGGAGGAGATACTCTAAAAGGAAGCCGAGGTACCTGCAGCCCCTATGACGTTGGTTTGCGCCAATCAGTACAGTCAAGGGTATATACAGTGTAAGCGATCTTTTATATACCTTGGGTGCAGTATTCTGAATGTAAGCTCAAATGTGTTTTCCAAAATGGAAACTTGTGGCTATCAGGGCAAGGCGACGATATATGAGGCTACCGGGTATCGCGGCAGACCGCACCCAGCACGGACGACAAATTATGCTCGACATGTGTCCATCCGCATCAAGACTGACCCAGCCCCTATCCTAAGCGAGATCGAGACGATACGAGTACGTCCTACGTGACTGGTGGAGCCAACGAGACCGCAACATTTGCTCAAGACGTGGAGCCGCTCACGGACAACGAAATCAGCCGAGACCAGCGCCAGGTACTCCAGGGCCCGCCTGGCAAAGGGAATTCCTTCATAGTGTGCAGGACACGCTCGCAGCCAGAGAGTATCAGCCAATCCCCGAAATGGCTTCTGCAAGAAGCACGATCGGCTGAGATCGGCTGACGCTGCTGGCGCAAGCACACGTAATCACGGGCTCACGTCAACTTGGAGTCCGTTCATTGAGTTGTGACCAAATCGTAATCTGGTCAAATTTGGCAAGAACCTCTCAGAAATGATACCAGAGCATTTTTTAGAGGCGTGGCCTCGATCCTGCGTACGTAGGTGACTTGTAGCTCACTTTGCTTGTACACAAGAGCAGTGTGCTCGCACCCGCGCAGGTTTCTAGTGCGCACTGCCTTTGGGCGAGCGCATCGAGTTGGCCCCTTTGAAGCTGATTTGATCCGGCAAAACCGCCTAGAGCGCAGCATCAGCGCATCCCAATCGAGCGTACATAGGTAGCTAGTGCCAGGGATTTAGCGTCCTAGTGGCACGTGGCGCATCGATAGCAGCTCGCTGCGCCGTACACAGCCGGCACCACAGTCTCTGGTTGGGCTGTCGACCTAACTTGCCTCGCATCACGGGGCGACG